GTAAGCGAGGAGTTGTTCAAATTCTCCGAAGTATCCCTTGACCGTCTTGTCTCCCTGCACTATGTTATCAAATCTATATTGCAATTCACGAAGACAACGTCGAGGTACATACCTTTTTCGCATGAGGATTTTCATCTCTTTCCAGGTGGAAACCGGTTCATAATGTGCACGTCGTCTAGCGACCTCTTCTTGCTTCCACCAAATTAAGGCATCTCCTATGAGTTGGTTCTCGATGTATTGCACCTTTCTAAGCTCCGAACCTGTATAGCCTTCAAAACTTTCTTCCATTCGCTTCTCCCATTCGAGATAAGCTTCCGGATTAGTTGTTCCCATAAACAAAAGAGATTTCGGATCATATTTGTTACCTTGATACCTTTGGACGTGTTGCTTCCGTATGATCTTTTCTTTCTCATATTCAACTTTATAACGTCCACGGTCATGGACAACTCGTTGTTTTTCATTTGGTTGTGGGCGAATATTACCTCTTTCTTGGTGGAGTTGAGTCGCTTGATGTTGTTTTTGAACACTTTCAAGGCGAGCAAGTCGCCCTTCAATGTCTTGAAGTATGGTCAACATAGCACTTTTGTTCGACTCGATGTTTGCTCTCTCACTAGACATGATGACGAGTTGTTCAACTTAGGATTCGATCAAAAGAATGCACTCAAACAAACAAAACACGAACACAAATGGAGGAAACCAAAAACTGTTTTTTTTTTCGGAAAAGTTTTGAAATAAAATGAAAACGAAATAACAATGTAAATGAAAGATATCACCGGGGTTTCGACGTCCGTTGGAGCGTTGGCTCTGATACCAAAATGATACACGCCTCGGCTACGAAGTAGAAATCTCGATGAAGTGATGGAACCAAAGATCAATCACCGGCACTCTCTTGGAGGCACTCGAACTCAATCTCGGTTAAACAATGGATTTCGAAGTGGAAATGATATCTAGCTCAATCACCGGCACTTTCAAGGCTCTCGAATTCAAGCTAGATAGGATATGGATGGAGAATGGATCGGAAGAATGATAGAAACCTCGGACAAACCAAGGGTCATCTCGGACATACCAAGATAGGGCTCTAGGACACACCAAGAGAGAGAATCGGACAAACCGAAAGGGGAGCAAACTTTAGCTCGAAAATAAACTCTTTGATTAAGCAAATCTGATCTCAAATGAGCTCTTACAACATATTTATAGAGGATTAAGTAGGTAGCAACATCTAGAATTACATTAATGCAAGTCTACATGCAAGAGGGGTAGGAGCCTTAGCATTAAATAAGGTGGTTGGGAACAAACTAGCTGTTGGGAAATACCTTGCTGTCCAAGAAGCTTCCTTTGCTTGATTGACTTGAGAATGAAGTAAATTAGGCTTGTAATATGGGGAAGTTTCGTGCCTTAACTGATCCAAAAGAAGAAAGGTGTGTAACTTCATTCCGAGATGCGTTCAAGGCGTTATTGTTGGATGCAATGATGTTAACACAAAGAGCTCGAGCTTTGGCACACATGAAGGTGGTTTGGGCCAAAATGATGCTCGTGATGCTTGTGTCTTTGGTCCGCCAATTTGAGATATGTTGAGCTCACAATTTCCTCTTGATTCTTGCAAGTTTGATCGTGCATCTTCCTGTAGCCCTTCATTGTCGTGATGTGCATTTTTCAAGCTTCCATTTGTGCCCTTGTTTAGGTCCTCATCCATGTCGTTGCTAGCTCCGACATCATTAGCTCCGATGTCCTCATCAGGTAACTCGTGTTGTATCAATGCACTGCACTCGACAGTGAGAGCCACGGTCTCTTTCTCGACGACTCTCTTCTTGGTCAGGATGTCCTTCAAAAACTTGGTATACGAGGGAATGTGTAAAATAGCTTCAGTAAAGGGCATGGTTACCTCGAACTTCTTTAGCATCTCTGTGAACTTAGCGAATTGGCTGTCTTTATTGTGCTTCCTCAGGCGGGATGAAAATGGTACTTGTGGAGGCCTAGGAGGAGGAGGTACGTATGCTGGTTCGGGCATGTCCTCCGGACTAGCATGATCATTCGAAACCTCGCTTTGCTCGATCATTAGGGAGTGTCGGCTGTCTACCTGTTTACCATTCCGCAGAGTGATGGCATTAATGTGTTCGCGAGGGTTGGTCTCAGATTTACCTGGAAGGGCGCTAGACGGTCTTTGAGAATCCGCTGCCAACTGGGCAATCTGATTGTCTACGAGCTTAAAATGGGCATCAATGCTCGCGAATTGAGTGCGGAACTCCTGAGTCGTCTTTGCTTGTTCCTGCATGAGTTGCTGAATAAGAGCATATGTATCTTGAGAAAGGTCACGATTACCAGAAGGCGTGGGATTATTGTAGGCCTGCCCCGGAGCTCTATAGTTGGAGTTCTAATTAGGACCCCTGGATTGAAAAGCAAAACCGGGTGGAATCTTCTGATTCAGATTGTGAGATGCCTCGGGTTATTTGGTGTAGGATTCTCGACGTTGTTGGACTTGTAAGAGAGATTAGGATGATTCCTCCACCCTGAATTATATGAGTTCGTGTAGGTGTTGTTGTTCACGTAGTTGAGATCTTCGGTTCTCTCTTCCACTGCATACATGCCGAGATCATCTTGGGGGAGTGTAGGAGCATCTATGGTGGAAATCAGGTTGGCATTCGCAAATTTAGCATTAAGTACTGCCAACTGATCAATCACCATCTTCAGGCTGGGGTCGCCTTCTCTCTTTGGAATATCGCGAGGATATTCACTCGGAACGTCTTCCTCTTGAGCCATCATCTCAATGTGCTGTTCCAATTCTGTGAATGACTTATTTTGGATGTTGCCGCCGCAGGAGGCTCAGATCAAAGTCTTGATATCGTTGCGGAGCCCTCGGAAGAAAGTGTTGATCAGATAATTCTTGTCAAGTCCATGATGAGGGCATGATTTCTGATATCCTTTGTATCTTCTCCAAGCATCGTGTAAACTCTCCCTTTGATCCTGCTTAAACGAATGTATACCGGAGAGAGCTGCTTGAGTGCGATGGGTTGGAAAGAATTTAGACATGAACTGAACTTCCAATTGATCCCAAGTATGGATGGAATCAGGTGCTAAGTCGTATAGCCATTCCAGTGCAGCATCCATGAGAGTCCAGGGAAAAGCGAGTAGACGGAGGTCATCATCCATCACCTTGGTCTCTCTTTTGATCGAGCGACACATCATCTTAAGCGCGTAAGATGTGCGTTCAGGTCTTCGTTTGGCCTACCCCGGAAGGAATTATTGCTAAGCATCTGAATGGTAGCCGGATTAAGCTCAAAATGAGTCATATCGATGGTCGACAGTCGTACACCGGCCATAAGCTCAGTGTGCTTTGGTGTGTTGTATTGAGCAAAAGCTGAGTCAACATTGCCTTCGGCATCACCGGGAAAAGCAAGATCTCGATCGTTCTCCATTTTCCTCTGCTGTCGACGGATGTGTGTAATGGTCCTTTCAAGTTCAGGATCAAAAGGCACTAGGTCTGATGTCCCAGCACTTCTGGTCATGCACTAGGGAACCTTGCGCACAAACGAAAGAAAAACAAAAGACAAACGAAGAAAACGTGAGAAATCACTTAAGAAAAAGAAAAACAAAAAGATCAAGACTAGATAGGGTCTAATCCTGTTGCCTAAAATGTCCCCGGCAACGACGCCAAAAACTTGATGTCGTCAATCTAGGTGAAAAAATATGATCAAGTAATAATATTCCTAAACTCAACAATTAACCGCAAGTGTACGGATCGTGTATAGTAGCTAGGGTCGAACACAGAGACAAGTAAACAACTGAATCAAATCTAAATCCAAGTCTAAATCCAGAGAAAATAATATGAGTGTGAGAAGGTAACAAAGCAAGCGATAAAACGGTTTTAAAACTATGAATGATGAGCACTGCAGGCTTCGGGATTGTTTTACATGCAAGGATCTTTCAAAAGATGCAAACTTAATAGTTTATCTATCCAGTTCAGGGATTCAAGCTCTAAGATAAAGATCAACTCTTCCAAGTCTAATCTCACTATCTAGGTTTAATCCTACCAATCTCCCGATTCGATAGTCTAAAACTTTGGATGTATGAACGAACGCTATCATGATTCCTAGGCAAATACCCTTCTCCCGATGTGATACCTGTTCTATTTATTGAATTGGTTCCAGGTTAAAATCCCATATGTCTATGTGAATTAAAACCTTAAGATCATTCAATCAAGTGGCCAACAAGATTAAACGCATTAAGAACAATTCAATAAACTGAATAGAATAAATAAATCCATAAAGTCTAGAATTAAAAAACAAAGATCTCTACATAGCAAATCCCTAACCTACAGCTATGGGACTACTCGCTAAACATCGAGATGACAGGGTTCATATCCATACAACAAAACATCGTAAAATAGAATAAGGAAGAAACTCTTAGTCGATTTCTCGGCTTCGTGATCTCCGTCTTCTACTCCGATCTCTTGCTTCCTGATAATCTCTCCCCTTGTGTAAGCTCCCCGTTCTCCTCTTGTCTATGAAAGTCTGAATGAATTTCTCCTTGGGGGCTAACCCTAGTTAACTCTTTCTTTTCTGGCCAGATTTGGAAATATTCCTGGAAAAATCCCGTAAGTGACACGATCGGTGGTTCCAGAGGACACGATCGTGTGAGGCTATTGATTTCACCATCAGATTTTTCGCGACTTGACCCGATCGTGTGTTGGAATGTGACACGATCGGGTGAGACTTCAAAACTTCTCTTGTCTTGGCGAAATGACCCGATCGTGTGTTGGCATGTGACACGATCGGGTGGACTTTCGATCCGATGGTGGTCCTCTGGGTGATGAGACACGATCGTGTGAATATAGATGACACGATCGTGTGTAACATTAAAGCTCATTCTTTTCCGGGGTTTTTGTCCTTTCTTTCGCTCCTATTGCTTGTACTTGCAAATATATACTAACCAAGCGAAAATCAAGGCTAAACACGCAATTAAACATCTCTGATGATGTAAAGCTAAATAGATATGTCAGATGAATGCGTGTCGAAATCGTGTATTATGCGTGTTATCAGAAGATCTTATGGCGATTGAGGGATAATCAGTTATACGCCAAATTCAGCAAGTGCGATTTTTGGTTGCAAGAAATCGGATTCCTTGGTCACGTCGTCTCGGCACAAGGTATCCAGGTTGATCCGACAAAGATTGAGGCAGTAATGGATTGGAAGACACCCACCAATGCGACTGAAATTCGAAGTTTCTTGGGTTTAGCAGGCTATTACCGTCGTTTCATTGAAGGATTCACTAAACTGGCAAAACCAATGACCAAATTGACGGGGAAGAATGTACGTTTCGAATGGACTGAGGATTGCGAAAAGAGTTTCATGGAACTCAAGAAGAGGTTGACAACTGTACCTATTTTGGCGTTACCGCGTCCAGGTGTTCCGTATGACGTGTATACGGATGCATCGAGGTAAGGATTGGGTTGTGTTTTAATGCAAGAAGGACATGTGATAGCGTATGCATCCAGACAGTTGAAAAGACACGAGGAGAACTATCCGACTCATGATCTGGAGCTAGACGCAATAATCCACGCTCTAAAAAATTTGGAGATCTTATCTTTATGGTGAGAAGGTTAAACTTAACACCGATCATAAGAGTTTAACCCATGTCATCTCGCAAAAAGATTTGAACCTCCGACAAAGACGATGACTAGAACTGATGGCTGATTATGACTTGGAAATTGCTTACCGCCCGGGTAAAGCAAATGTCATAGCGGATGCATTGAGCCGGAAGAAGATATTGTCCGCTATCAAAGTATTGTCCTCATCACAGGAGAATATAGCAGAGTTGTCGGCTATATTGGGCCATTTGATGATTGTCGAGGATGAACAATTCCCAGATCTGAGAACACGGGTAATTTCAGAGCAGCGCAATGACCCAGAACTCATGAAGTACATACAGGAGGTTGAGCGATATCGCGAGAAAGGGTATCAGTTGGATGACGCACAGGCATTAAGACTGCATAACCGGCTTTGTGTACCGGGCAACGGTGAGTTGAGACGGAAAATCTTGCAGGAAACTCACCAGACCAAGTTAGCGATTCATCCAGGAGCTAGCAAGATGTATCGAGGTTTACGACAGTGGTATACTTGGCCCGACATCAAGAAAGACGTTGCGGATTTTGTTGCTCGATGTCTGACGTGTCAGCAAGTGAAGGCTGAACGACAAATGCCTGGAGGGAAGTTGCAACCATTAGAGATTCCGGAATGGAAGTGGGACTCTATAACAATGGATTTCGTGGTTGGATTGCCAACAACTCCAACGAAGAAGAATGCAATTTGGGTGGTTGTGGACTGATTAACTAAATCGGCACATTTCATATCGATCCAACAAGAGTACACAGTTGAGAGATTGGCACAGATCTATGTGGATGAGATCGTCCGATTACATGGAGTGTCGAGTGAGATTATCTCTGACAGAGATCCTCGCTTTACTTCAAGACTGTGGAATGCTATATAGAATGCATCGAGAACCGGAGAAGGAGGAGTGCAATCATTACCCCATCTATTTGGAATGTGACTTCAATTTAGGCTCATTTGAATTCGAGGACGAATTCACTTTAAGGGGGTAGATTGTAACAACCCAGTTTTTCAAAAAAAAAATATCCGGACCATCTGGTCTGGTGAAGCCAGACCGGACGGACCGCTGACCAGAAATTCCGGAACGGACGGACCCGACTGTTGGTCAAAGTCGCGATTTTCGTCCGGATTTGGCCGAAAACGATGTTTACCCACCAATCTTCGACAAAAATCCCGATTTTTCAACCCTAAGGGCCCTATAGCTCAATCATACCAGTCTAAGTCCGGATTTTCTTCACAAATCTGCCCAAAAATCCGATTTCTTCTTATCATTTTCGTCTCTGCATTCTCTCTAACTTCAACCCCGAAATTTCTCTGTCAAAACCAAAGGATTCGCACCCAAATCGGTTTCTACAGAGCAAGAGGAACGCCCCCAAGCTTCCTATCCGTTATCCAGAACATGGGATTAACCCGAGGTGAGTGAATTCGAGTTTAATTCGGAAGTCTATTGACATGGGGTTTTGGGTTTCTGTGTGTTTCATGCGAATTTGGTGCTTGATTCGTGTTAAACATGAGATTTTATGAGTTTTAATGTATTACCCATAGCGAATCGTGCATGTTTGAGTGTTTTTGATAAAATCCGAGGACTAGAACGTCCGGTCTGAGGTCAGACCGTCCGTTCTAGGTCTGCAGGAGAAAACGCGAAGTCCAGAGGTTGAAGAAGAAGTCCAGACCGTCCGTTCTGGGCAGTCCGGAACGTCCGTTCTGCACCAGCCAGACAGTCTGATCTGAACAAGGCGGAACGTCCGTTCCGAACCGACTGGACCGATCGGTCTAGGACTAGACCGATCGGTTTGGAAAAAAAAAAGAGTAACAGAACCTTAAAAATTCATCATGTGAAAAAATGAAAAACTAGACTAGTCGGACCTAGTATTACCCCGACTCAAACAGTGAAAAAGTGAAAAATGTAAAATAGACTGAAAATACGGGCCAGACCGGACCCCACGTAGTCTGGACCCAAAATGAATAACAGGTAAGGTTAAAAACCACGGAATGAACCGAATGGTTATCCAGACAGTCCGGGACCAGGTAGGTCATACCAGAGGTAAAATTCGGTAATATGAATGGAAAGACTAAAAGAAAATATATAAATAAATATAAAAGACTACGCAAGCGGAGATACATGTATAGTAACTAAACTATATAAATGTGTGTGATTGGGGTAGCTGGCATGACACTAGCGTTAATTCGAAAAGGTTCGAATTAACGTTTAGCGCGTGATTGTAGAAACGGACGTTTGTGAATGATTGTTACGAGATTGCATCCCATTCATGGGCCATCTGATCCGGGTCGGATGCCACCCATATGGGATATGATTGTGAATGTGGCGATGATATAATCGCGCCAACGTCCAAAATATAGGACGGTTATGGACACCCCGATGACTTGCGTAGATAGCCGATTGTAGTCGGTACTATTGCGTGACGAGGAACATACGGTTCTTGGAACCGCGCCAACGTTTCTGTTAGCGACGGAGCGGACCCCGGGGTATGAGTATCCTGAGGATGAGGCATTACACATACCTGAGATTCGGGTAGATTGGAGTCTCCCGAGGAGGTGGTACGGACTTACTCTGCCAGGTTCGGGCCCGAACCTGACAAGTAATTCCACGGCGGATGGTCGGCGAGGGGGAGTTGCAGTGATTGGCTCTCCCGTTATAGTCGATGGCGTCGGTTTTAGTCGACGTCTGGTGAGCTCCAGTATTGAGAGGTGACATCAATACCGGAGTAGGGTGACACGCCTAGTATCGAGAGGTGATATCGATGCTAGGGTGCGGTGATGTGTTCGGACGGAGAAAAATATATTTATGTCGGATCCGAGTGGTTGCGGAGTAGATGGATTCCGAGGAGAGAGGCGGTTGTGCTATGTACATGGGGAGTACATTACCTACGCATGGTGCGTATAGAGATGATTTGACGGACTATGTCCTGCGACTTGTCGTACGGACTTGATTGTGATTGCTGATATGCTTATCATTGATTCTATGTTTTCGATTCCTGTTTATTAGAATATTATTATATATATGTATTTGTTTTTCCTGGTTCCATGAGAATAGAATTCCGGGTTACACTCGAGTTCACTCTCTAAATAATTAGCTTAGGACGTTGTTACGCAACATTCAGGTCGTGAGCAGCAGTAGCCGAGGAGCGGACATCGGAGTCCTGGGCAGTGTACCACTACCGATCATGTATAATTATGTATTTTGATACATTTATATTTTGGGAAACGGTTGGTAGACTTTTAAGGTTTGTAATAATGTTATACTACCACTCGACTATGTGGAATTATAACTGAGAATAATGTATCATAAATGTATATATGTGTGTTTCTTCCGCTAACTCTGAAAATAAAAGTTTTAAATTCCCGCGGATTTTTGGAGGTTAGTTTTTATTTTAATTGTCCATGTGACGCACCTCGTATTGCGGTATACGGTTTCGGGCGTTACGCTCTTTGTTTTTTATTTCTTTTTTTTAATAAAAATTAGGTCACATATTACCATTTTTTACTCTTTATTTTACATTTATTTTTAAATATTTCATCTCTCCATTCTTTTAAAAAAATTTACAAATCAAATATTCAATCATAATATAAAAAAACAAAAAAAATAGTAAAATTAAAAGTATTTAGATATTATAATTTTTTAAATAATTTTGTTTTTTATTTGTTCATAATTTTCTATATTTTTATCATACTTATAAATTTATTGTTATATATATTTATTTATTCTTATATTTGATTTGGTAAAGAAACTAATGAATAAATTTCTCAAAAAAAACTTTGCATCGATATTTTAAGGAAGTCGTAAAATTCCAATCAATAATATATCGAATTCTCAAACCCCTCCATATTTAAACAAATTTATTTGGATGATTTGTCTTCGCATTTGATGAAATTGACTGGATTTTATCCGGATGACTTCAATTTGGCATCTCTATATATGCGTATATACATATTATTTAACATCTTTTTTTCTGATTTTGATAAACATTATACAATAGACAATGAAAATATTGCATACGTTCATATCTACGTAATTTTTTTTGAATGATTAGCTATATTAAATTTTTATTATAGATATGAATAGAAAACAATCCCGTTCGATAATGTTATACCGTTGATTAAAAATAATCAAGTTATTACAGTTGTGTCTTGAAAAAAAAGAGTATATTATTATTTACTTTAATGAAATTATTTCGTAACAGTGACTACCAATTATAGTAGAAATTTTTCATTTATGTTATGTTTTGGTTTAATTATTTTGAAGTTTATTTTCTATGATTTATAAAAACTATATTTTTGTTTCCTTCCCATTTCATTTTAGTAAATTTTGATTAAAAAAATATTTATGATTTAAATTTGTATATGTGCTTGATATAAAATATCCATTCATATTTGTTTAGGTTTGTAATCCGATTGTTTTTTTTCTTTGATCTCGCTTTTTTTTAGTATTTTTATTGTGTTAATTGCTTTTGGAATCTATCAATATTATATTTTTTTCATATAATATGATACCAAAACAAATATTTTAATTTTTTAATTTATATCATATGTATATATTATATATGTTTATACATAGAAGAAAAAAATTTGTTTTTGTTTGTTAATTTATGTTTACCATGTTTGTTTTTATATATGATTAATTTTATTTTTTAATTTGACTTTAATAACAATGAATTACAATTTATATAGTTACTATTTTCCATATCTATATATATAAAAGTTTTATTTGGATCAATTTGGTGCACCTCTCATATGTATTATTTTGTTTAATTTTTATTAATTTATATAAATCAGAATATTTATACACTAATTATATTCTTTATATTTTTAAACAA